GATGTGTGGCATATAAATTTAGCAAACAAGCAAACAAGTTGCACTCATCTGCTTCATTTTCCAAAATGCAAGAGTTCTGTAAAATGTGTTTTAAGGGAAAAAAAGAATGTCTATCAACTCTATAAGAAATAGTGGAAAAAATTTAGGCTCAAGTCAAAATGGGCCAACTTGCCACAAGATAACTTGATGCAGGACAATTCAAAAAATACAAAAGTTAAATTAATTTCAGTGGAACTGTGACCAATAATAAAAGGTCAATCCAGAAATACAAGAGTTACAATAATTTTGATGAAAAGGTGGTCACCAATAATAAAAGTAACTGAATGAAACTATTAATGCAGCATTGAATTGTCCCACACTGAGTATTCCCATGGCAAGTTGGCCATGGCAAGTTGGCTGCAGCAAGGTGGCCATGGCGAGTTGTCCTAGACCTGGCTCAAGTTGCTGTCAACTCCTGGACAGATCTCATGCATTTTTAATACCAATATGGAATTGTTACTTCAAGGATTTTCCCCCGACTTCCCAGTATCATCTATAGCCATAGATTTTAAAGTAATAACCAGATCTGACTCTACTTAACTTTTTCAAGATCAGCCAAGGTTGGCTAGTGCACAACCTGCTGTGAATGGAACAAAGAGGAAGTTAAGAAAGAAAATATATTTGTTCCTAGAAGAGAAGAGAAATTCTGTTTTCTTTTCAAATGGTGGGAGCAGTCACTGGTGCAAAAGGACAGATACAGTGGTGATATGTGTTTACACTGTAGAACAGGGGTGTCAAACTTGCGGCCCGCAGCCCCAATGCATCACATGCTGGGCCCGCCTGGTTTAGTGAAGGGGGGGGGGGAAGTCCTGATACTTCACATGACACTGCTGTGACGACACAAGTTTGACATCCCTGCTAAAGACTGATTAAGATTTCTGATTGCCTTCTCTTCTGATGAAGATTGCAACTCCTGAAAGTTTCCTGACATCCAATTCACATAGATAAGCCAAAGAAGAGGTCAAGCTTTTCCTTGAAGATGTCCATAGCAGTGTTAGGAAAATGACAAAAAAACAACAACCCCACAACAGGAAGGTAATGGAAAGAGCAGGGCTAATAACTATAGCAATTTTGATTGTGACTTGACAGGAACACCACAGAATTGTAGAGATGTGGAGCTGGATCATATTACAAAGATCCTTTAATCCAGCCTGCTATAATGTGTAGGAAAACTAAACCAACCATCTTAAGGGGTCTACTCATTTTCTTCTCTATTTTTGTTGGAAAACCAACAAATTCTGTAGATAATGTTGATTCTATAAGATAAAAGACTTATTCCAAGGAAAGGTTCAAATATGTCATCAATCTACTTCCAGCCCACCTTTCTTTATCAACTGCTTATTTGCTTTGACTGTAAGTAGTTCAGATTCTCATAGAGAACTATCATGGAATAAACTTGTACTCATTTAAGCAGCCTTGGTTCCTGTTTTTTTAAGCCTGATAGTTCCACTGTTGTACAGCTCTTTTTGTCAGAAGTTTTTCCTTACATTTAAATCAAATATGGGTAATTGGAACGTATACCTATTATTTCTGATCCTAACTTCTAAAACAATGTATAACTGTTTCTGACAATCTTCCTTAAAGCACACTTTTATATTCCTGAATGTTGATATCATGTCTCCCCACAGTCTTCTTTTTTCAATGTGAATTTCCCAATTTTCTTCAATGTGAATTTCCTTGTATCCTTGTGTCCCTGTATCATCTTTGCTCCAATGTAGTGCTTCCAAGCTATGAATGTGTAGCCTATATTTTCCCTCCCTAAATGGAGCATCTTATATTTCTCTTAATTAAAAGGCATCTTGTCCTCTAAACCCAATCTTCCAATCAGTCTTCATTAGATTGCAATTGTTTGTTTTCGTATTTATTGCCAAACCTTCCAATTTTGTGTGTCCTCCATAAATCTGATAAGCAACCTAGCAATCCCATTATACAGATCATTTGTAAAAACGTTGAATAATACTAACTCAAAGATAGACATGGCAGGAGCCCATTGGTTACAGCTCCTCAATTTAATGTAAAGCTATGGATGCTAAATTTATGAATGCAGATACCAGCCTGTTGTAGGCCCACTTTATTGTAGTGTCTCCAAACCATATTTATCTTGAGCATACAGACAACAACATTTGTCATTTAGACACTCTGCATTATTCCTAGAATTTTGTGGTTGAGCGGCGATAACAATGCTCCAACCTGTACCTCTCTAAGAACAAAATATCCCCACAGTGCTTTTGTTGCATTAGGAATTATCCAGCTGAAAACATGTAGGATGACCATGTCTTATAAATTATATTGCTTTGAAAGGAAAAAGATGAAGCTATTTAATATCTGCCCTTCCTTAAAAAGATCAAGGTAAACTATATGCAAAGATGGAGAATAGCTTTTATCCTTACAACAATTATGTCAGAAGTTGAGCTAAGAGATATTGAGTGATCAGAGATCACCCAATGAGCTCCATAGTTAAGCAGAAACTTGTATCTCCCTAGTCCTTCTTTAGACACAATAACAAACTAGTTCTGAGTTAAATAGAAGGAGAAAATGTATAATATTCTACTTTGCAACTGAGTTTTTGCTACAACTTTTCCTGGCTGAACTACTTTTCCCCTCTTAAGTGTCCCAGTTTCTTATTTCCAAAAGTATGAGACTCCGAAATGAAGCAGCTTAATAAGTGAAGTATCTAGAAACCAGCTCTCTTGAGTGCTCTTCTTTTATAACCTAGAGGGTAGAATTACAAATTTCACTAGCCAAGATCGAGAATTTCCAGAGGTTATTCAATGAAAGAAAAATTTAGGCTTTTCCTCCATATGTTGAATTTCCCCCTGAAAACTTTTCCCTTCCAACTTAAGGAAAACTTAACTTCAGAGCTGGTTGGGAATCAGACAAAGGACAATGTAAATTAACCACTGGAGAAAGCATTGTATGAAGCGGAAAGATTATATATTTATTTTATTTCATTCTTATTCCTGTACATCCCTACAGGTATTTTATCTCACTTTTTTCTATCTTACTTTCTCTACGAAGTCTCAATATTCCCAATGTGCCTGGGGAATAATGGGAGTTGTAGCTCAACACATTTTGAAGCAAAACATGGAGCCAAGCTGCACTATTTGTACATTGATGATAAATGATCTACTGGGGACTCCATAATATGTATAGTCTCTGGGTACATTTTTTGTGGCAGACATAAAGACAAAGGCAAAATCAGAGCTCAGGTACTCATTGGGTTCAATATCTCCTATGTGTTACATCCTTACAGCCTCATCTTCCAACTGTAATTTTTTTTTCAGTTGTCATTAGATTAAACCACCTGATCATTAACCATGTTCACGGGAAATGTCAAGCACATTTTCACCTAATCTCATTTAATAGCTCTTGGCTAGAAGGACTATTCTACAATTTCCTAAATTTTACCATCTTCTTCAATATTCAATGGCACAATTGGGTTTAGTGTGATTGAAGCATTCCAAAGATAATAGAGTCAAATGAAATGACATTAGTTACAGAAGGCACATGGTGGGTGAAGGCATACTCAGAATAACCAAAAACATAGTTTTAGCTGAGAGACTCAATCTCAATGAACAAGGAATTTATAAAAGATGTTATATATGTTGACACTGTATCAAAGAATGAAACTGCAGGAATTTTATGTTACTTTTTCATCTATCCCATTATCAACTATCTAGAGGTGCTGAATTGTTATTTCCCCAACTTTTAAAATCTGGGATTTGCAATCTAAACATTTCTGGAGAATACTACATGAATGAAAGCTGGTTTAGAAGTTGATGCTGAAAGTCAAACAAATCTGTCCATCTTGCTTTTATTTTGTTCCTTTTTTGAATTCCAAGGTTCTGCAATCATAGTACAGTTATACAGATTTTTATCATTATATTTCTTGCTGAGTCAACTAGCAACACAATCAGTCAATCCATCAGGACAAAGAATTTCAACTTTTTGTTTGAGAGGGCTGAAAACCACAGAGGCTAACCATTACAACATGGCAGCAGGTGGGGGAAGAATCAAAACACAGAATGATTAGCATTGAAAGAAAAATGTTGATTTATGAGGGAATATTACCTTACCGAGAGTTACTGTTGTCATTATTATTGCTGCAATAATTTTCAGCCCCGGTGCCTAACTTTATTCCCAACCCCATCACACAATACTGTAGAACAAATGGAGGCTCTGAAAGCCATGTGGAGCAGCAGTTGGTAAAAAGGACATTGATTATTGAGTAACATTATTCTAGACCATAATAGTTGGAGATTCCCACATTCTTTATGGCCTATGATATAATAATAGACACATGAAAAAGCATGACTATTTCAACTCATTCATTGGTGATTATGTTCGCAATCAGCTATGAAGTTTCTGCAATGAAAAGTATGGTCCACTGTAGTTAAAAAAGTGATATTAAAGAAATTAGAACCAAGATGGCATTGAGTTTTCAGATGAAGGCCAATAAAGTAAAGAAATGGTTGTATCATTAAGCTACTTATTTTTAAAAAGAATTAGAGAAGTGACAATTTAAAATTTGTATCTGATTTTTGCAAATATCAGATTTGTAATAAAATATTCTTAGAGTAAGGGTATCAGAATGATAAACTCTAACTCTTGAATGGCAAAAGTCTGTTAACAAAACTGCTGTTTTTATGATAGAAATAGAGTTTCATCTGAAGCAATAAGAGAATATTATATCTGAAATTCCTAAAACAATTTAAATTATTATTTGGCATTAGAGTAATTCCCCTAAAAGCTAGAATTCTACATTTATTGAATTGCAACTCTCATTATCATTAGATAAAACATCTGCTCTTGTCTAAGACATTTGGATACCAATTAGGGAAGGGGATTTTGAAGCAAAATATATTCTGAAATATCAATAATGATTATTCAGAGAAAGGAGAACAGAGAAAACAATATAATCGGTTATAGGAAAAAAAATCAATACAGCCTTCATTACTTACCGGCAAGGACATATCGGTCTCATCCCGAAACTCAGGTAAAGTCTCCAGGCAAAAAATCACAATGGAGATAAGAATGACCATAACTGAAATGATGGCAATGATGCGTGCAGCCTGAGAACTCTCTGGATGTTCAAAGAGCAGCCACACTTGTTTGAGGAATTCTCGATCAGGCATGGGCTGCTCTTCTTCCTTGATGAATCCTTCATCATCACGAAATTTAGAGAGAGCTTCTTCACCCAACTGATAGAATTTGAGTTCCTCCAAAAAAACATCAAGAGGGACATTGATTGGCCTTCGAAGCCGTCCTCCAGATTGGTAATAATACAGAATAGAGTCAAAGGAAGGCCGGTTGCGATCAAAGAAGTACTCATTACGCAATGGATCGTAATATTGCAAACGCCGCAGAGGATCACCCAGTAAAGTATCGGGGAACTGTTTCAAGGTCTTTGCTTGGGTCTCAAATCGTAGGCCAGAAACATTTATCACCACCCGCTCACAACAGTCCTTGTGGGAATGTCCCCCACAGTGGACGATGGGCTCACTTTCCCCTGTAGTCAGTGGCAATAGCTTCTCCATGGTAGAGCTGGCAGCTACAGAGAGCCTGAGATGATGTAGGAAGTCATGATTCGAAGTTCACCCAAATGCTGAGGCCTTCTCCAGAGAACTCCCAGTTCAGATATTCTATCCTGTATCCTTTCCAATATTAGTCTATTCACACTATATGTATCTCAGCTGGCATCTTTTCTCCTAATTCCCCTTCATCTATTTTCACTCACTGCTTTAAACATATCTGCTCTAGTTTCTAATTTACTTCTCTCCTCCTCCTCTTGCTATATCATTTCCTTAGTTCATGCCATCTTCTTTCTTTTCCTGCCTTTCTCTTAAAGCTGATTTTCTTCAGCCCTGGATAATCACTCTATCATCTCAACACTACTCTCAAAATTGCTTTGGTATTTCCAAAGGGGTTATAGCCACAACTTAGATCCCCCCTCCCCAACTGTCCTTCTCTATGTCCCCTTTCTGAGAACACCCCTGTCTTCCAGTGCCAGCGTCAAGGTTTCTGCCTGTAAACACTTTCCCTAGACTTAGGGATATCAGATTGCCCCAGGACGTTACAGACTCTTGGCCCCCTTGCCAAAATCCCAGCACCGCCTCCAACTCTATGCCTAAAAGCAATCCCAACAGCATCTGATCAGAAGAGGGAAGAGCTAAAAATAACTGAGAGTGACATAGGGGCAGGCAGAATGCCCAGGGCAGAGAAAAAGGTGGGCAGGACACCTTCAGGAGAATACAGAAGACTGCCAGTGAGAACCTTTGTGCTCCCCTATAAAGAGAAGTAGTGTTTGAGCCTGGACATCCCTGTCTTTCAAAGGAGGCTAGGGTCTCATGAGTAATATACAAGAGTAAGCAAAGATTGAGTCTGAACTCAAATGATACTCTGAATCATAAATTAGAGGTTGAAAAGATGAAAAACTAAAGCAAATTTAAGCTCTATCCTTTCCAGAAACAATCAAGTCCTTTCTGAGTTGTGATTTCAAGTCTTGAGAGATCAGAGGCAACACAAGTGTTGCATTCTCACCTCCCCCCATCTTAAGTATGCCTTATACACAGGCTGTATAACTAAAGTAACATAGTACAGTATGCTGTTTACATACATCAGAGAAAATATAGGGAAAAAAATACAAAATAAGCAAAAAAATATTTCACAGTACTGAAATAGTCACATATTGTTCAGCCTGTTGTTCGAGTACTGACATGAATGTGATTAACATCAAGGTGTTTACTTTCCTTTTTTATGGTTCTCTCTTTAAATTGGACTTTGACAGTATCTCTTCAAGAAATAATTTCCTGAAATAGAGGGTTGTTCTTGAACATGCTTTTAGATAAAGGATTTCCCCTGCATGACATGTAACAACCGTGCATAGAATTGTTTTTGGTGCCTTTAGATATTTAACTGGTCTCCTTTTTGACCTGCTTTAAGATCTGATCAAAAACACATTTCTCTTGCTTTTCTTTCAGGATGTTCTATTTGGTTCCTTTGATCATTGTCTTTCTGTGCTAGCTTTATAATTGCATACAGTACAGGTTTAACCCTCTCTTTCACTTTCCATTTAACGTATTGCAAAGTTGGCCCCAAACTTCTAACATCTCAGTTTTTCTCTCAAATTTGTTTAACTATAAAAACATACAGAGTCTGTTCACATTTGTTCACATTATCCAATATAATTTTACATTATTTTATCATTAAGATGTAGCTACCTGATATATATTTCAAATGTTTTGTTCCTCATTCTAAAATGTTATATAATATTAAAAAGAAAGCCTCCCACCCCCCAAAAGATTTAAAGCAAGGCCTTATGTTCTGAATTGAAAGGAAAGTTTATGGAACTAGATTATGAATCAGATCATCTTCTTGATTGTGATCAATATGAACATCTATTTCTCCATTTAAAGTATTTTGTATTTTTAAAAAAGATTTAGCTTCTTTTTCTAGTCTCATGCCTTCTACCCTTTATGTGGCTGGGATTCAAGATCCTTTGCCCATTTTTTTCACATTGATTTGGAACAAAAGGCCAAACTAGGTTTGATGATATTGTGCTAGCATTCCACAGATGAGAAATGTGCAGCTTTTTTTCCTGTAGGGTCCGGAATTAAGACTAGTCTACCATAACTGGTCTTCTGAACAACTGCTAAGGTGCCATATGGTATTTATCCAGAATTCTGCAGTCCATGTATGGTAATTCTTGACCTCTACTTTGTGTGCTAGAGGCCATACTCCATAAAATTGTCAGGATCTGAATAAAAACTTTAAATTAACTGATTATTAAGCGGAGTGTATATATTTTTTATAATTTGTTGGATGATTTTATGAAATAAATGAAACAAGGACAGACATTGGTGTATTTTTTCTAAGCTATATTAGCAGAAACAAATTTCTATCAACTTACAGTAAACAGGCAAAGATATGCAAAAATTCAGATAACTGTACGCCATAAACATTCAGTGGAAATCTTTTCACCATTGCTAATCTTAAGTACTACAATAAATATCTCAGAAAAATTAAATTTGGAGTAGAGTTTTAAAATGATTGCCCCAGCTAATTCTAAGAGGCCCAACATTATTATTTCATTCTGCTTACTGTATTACAGAAGCTAAAAGAAAAAGTTAGTTGAGACCAAATCTGTAGCCAGAAAATGTATGGGCAGATGACCTTCATGCAAAGGAACAGGTGTGTGTGTGTGTGTGTGTGTGTATTTTGTGTGAGTGTATTTTAGGTGATGCTGTTCTATTTGAACATAAGGCCCTGCTTTAAAAAAAGTTCAATTTGTGCATATTAACACACACATGTATAGGTGTTTATGTGAGTGTATGTGCATGCTTGTGTGTTTCAAACTGAAAACAATTTTAAAAAATGGATTAAATTAAAAATAAATTGGCTTAATACACTTTTAGTCTTCTTGCATGAATGTCTATGGCCGTGATGGCGAACCTATGGCACACATGCTGCAAGTGACACACAGAGCCATCTCTCTGGGTACACGAGCTGTTGCCTGTTGTTCTTCCAGGTTCCGGCCAGTTGGTCTTCATGTGCATGGGAGCACTGGAAACCAAAAGAGCAGCTGCCAGGTATGCATGTGCGCACCTGGAAGATGAACTTCCAGTTTCCAGCGCCTGCATGCACACCAGCCAGCTGGTCTTTTCAAATGCACATGTGCCAGAAAGCAGATCATCTTCCTGGCGTGCATGTGCACACTGGGCAGCTGCTCTTCTGGTTTCTGGCATGCATGTGTGCTCCTATTTTGGCACTCAGTGCCAAAAAGGTTCACCAACACTGGTCTATAGAATGAACGCTTGGATATTTGAAATCTTGCAGAGGCTTTTTAAACTTTATGATCCTACTTTGTGTAATTGCTTGACACCATCACTGATCTTCCAAGGAAATGCTTTTACCTGGTGTTTTCCCCCTTAAAGTGAAAGAATAGGTTTTCCACAACCTTAACAGTACTGGTAAATAAGGAAGATGACCAAAAAAAAAATGAAATACATTCTATTGAGCCACCTTCTGGACCTGTAATGCTGAAGCTTAAAATTAAGAAAATCTGATTTTTTTTTAAAGGAAAAGAGAAAATGTTAAATTACTTTTTCAGGATTTTTTATTTTATTTTAAATATTTAATAGTAATAGTTGAAAGAAAATATTTGATGATAAAAGAGAGAATTTAGTATAAAGGTAAAGGTTCTGTGCTAGTCGTTTCTGACTCTACGGGGGCGATGCTCATCTCCGTTTCAAAGCCAAAGAGCCAGTGCTGTCCGAAGACGTCTCCGTGGTCAGGTGGTTGGCATGACTAAACACCCAAGGCACACGGAACTCTGTTACCTTCCCACCAAAGGTGGTTCCTATTTTTTCTACTTGCATTTTTACATTCTTTCAAATTGCTAGGCTTGCAGAAGTTGTTACAAGTAACGGGAGCTCACTCCATTAAGCAACGCTAGAGATTCAAACTGCTGAACTGCCAATCTTTCTGATGGAAAAGCTCAGCATCTTATTCAGTGAGCCACCATGTCCCTTTTTAGTATATTTAGTATTTATACATTTAGTATATATATTTAGAATTTAGTATACATCAGTTAATCATCAGTTGATAAGAATACTACAAAGGATAAGTAGAGTTCGGGACAAGTTACAACAATGTTGTCAGAAAAAATATAAAAAGTCAATATGATGATTGTAGCAGTGTGATCAACACACGGTCCCTTTATATGCAGATGTAGAAAAGAGATGATTTGATCATAGCTGTGATGTGAAATAAGTGCCAAGTTCCAGAAAAAACCTAACCATTTAGTCAGCATGCACAAAGACTGTAAATATCCGAAACAATATAGCATTAATTAGCAGGCACAGAAAAGACATTAAGCTTAACACGGCTCTTTGCTATTTTTTCTATTTTACTAAAGAACAGATGAATCAGAGGTGCTTTTACCAATTTTGTTACCTGAAAAATCCTGCTTCCTGCAAATTCCATCTTAATTTGAGGCTGAGCAAAAATATTAAATCCTAAATTTTCCATCTTCTCATCCAGTAAGTTCTACCTGATTTTAAAAGTAAAAGTAAAAAAAAAAATTCTCCAATGAAAGACCATAGACTAGAACAACAGAAATGGGAATATTATAGACCTATTCTCCAATGCATTTCACTGTTTATGAAAATGAGTTTAGTATCTGGTACTAGCCTCAGTGAACTCAGTTGGGCTCACAATTGTGACTTGCACACACTTTCAATTCTTAATATTCCAAGTTAAAGTGGCAAGTTTAATTATCAGAGGATTGTGTTCGTACTTGGCAATTTATGAAGTATTTTTGCCTGTTTTATATGACCCAAGACAAGTATTTAATTTGCGTAAGGGGCTTTTAAGAGATAAATAGTATCTCAATATTATTTTTATAATTTTGTCAGAAAAGCAGATCTTTCATATCCTCATTAGACTCTGAAAAGCAAGTATAAATTGTCTTTCCCAAACACCTTCCCAAACAAATCTCTTCCTGCTAGTTGACCAATAGTGCCACCTATTGCCAGGCAATTCACTTAAAATAACTCTTTCCTAATATACCAATATATGGTTTTGTTTATACATCACATTTAGAAATTGTCCATCTCCCTCACAGAGTGACTCTGGGCGCTATACAAGTAAAAACATAAAAGCTATACATATATTTGGAGGCAATTAAGAATATAATTAAAATTAAAAATTCAAGGGAAAGAATTCAATGTGCTAACCAGTCCCATGGGCCCTAAAGAAGTAAACAGAGCCAAGTCTTCAGACATTTTTGAAAGCTAGGAGAGTGGGTGTCCATCTCACCTCTGGAGGACAATGTTTCAAAGGACAGGGGCAATGGCAGGAAAGCCACTCATCTTAGACTAACATTCTAAATGAGATATGTTAAAAATAAATATCATTTAATGCAGTTAATAAAGCTTCTGTGAGCTAAGATATCAGCAAGAAGTATCAATTGGCTTGAGAAACAGAAAGTAAATACAAAAAATGGCAAACCATGTGTATCCATGAAATCAACATGGATTTTGACTTGAAAGAGATTTTATTTTTCTAACTGGTATTCTAAAAAAGCTGTGTGCAGCCTTTCCTCTTTTCTTCTTTTTATTTTTGTGATAATAACGAGAAGTGTTATTCTTTTACTATATAGGAAGTTTATAAATAGAATTGCTATAAAATTCTATCAATGGAGTGAGATATTATCATAATACAAACCTGAATGGATTACTGAAGATTATTCTGTCTGTGGTTGTTTTCATGGTGTATGTCTATTTCACTTGCTGTATTCTCTTCCATACCTCCTTTGATATTTTTTTCTCTAAATAGAATGTATAATTGACATATTTACACAGTTGCTCTTTTATATCCGCTTCTTTACAAAACGCAACATGGTCACTAAACGAACAGTTATAAATCGAGGACTACCTGTATTACTAATATTACATTCTAAAATACGAATTTGGTCTTCCTAAACAGATACTTCTACGCTCGGCATATTTTTTTCCTAATCAGTTAAGTACCAACTTTTAAGCTTCCTTACCCCACTTTATATAAGCAAGAGGGAGATTGAATTTTTTTTTTGCTATACTGTATATATACTGTCCTGACACAAACTGCTTTGGTAGCCCCTGCTTCTCGTATTACAGTAATCTAATGGGAAAGTGGCAGATATTTGCCCCCCTCAGTGCTGCTGTCATTCAAGGCAAAATTGATTCTGTTTCTTCCTTGGGCAAAGAAAACCAATGCTGTCACTAACTATAACCATAACTAAGCTCTCTTTGAATAAGTCACTTAATTCAGTTACTTAAATCACTTGTTAATTCACACAAAACTAGAGAAGTCAGGAGTAATGCTGTCCCAGACTCTGCCACAAGGGAACAAAGAATAAGCCAACTAGATATATACGTGTTCGTAAATAGATCATTACAAAAACTGGCAAGCCTTTAGACCTGAACCTTGACGTGTAACAATCCGAAGCAACCTTCCGTAGCTGGCTGGATATCCGGGATCCAATACTACGGGAGAACATCGGCTCAGAGGAAGCTTTCCATTCCTTGATTATTTCTTATTACAGAAATACTAACGCAGATTCATACTCCTATAACATTTTACCTAGCACTGTTAATAATTAATTTAGCAATTTAGCTTTCCCCTTGGACCAGCGTAAATGTTTTTGTAAAAATATCAATAATAAACAATTAAAATGAGTTTTATTGATTTGGTTGCAAGCTGCAAATCAAATATCGGGAAAGTCGCACAGGATTTCCGATTGCCATCACTGAATCAATGCCCAATTCTGACAGCTCGGACCAATCCTTTATCATCACTGACTGGCGTACACGTTTAAATCTATAGACCAAGATAGTATACTGGGAAAGACTACTTTCTTCCCCACCGCCCGTGCGCGGATTGATCAGGTGACGGCAACGAATCAAGAACCGACGCGTAAGGATTCAATGGTAGTGATGGGGCATCGATCCAAGCATGCGCAGATTGTGCGCCCAGTAGGCCCGGCCTGAGGCGGCGGGAGTCGCCGAACAGCGGAGAGAGATCATCGAGGGTCACGACGGCTAGTGAGACACAAAGTGCGTCGGGGAAGCGCGTCTAGGCTATTGTTTTGTGCGAACCGGGACGAGGGCGTTTTCTGTCTCATTCATACGGAATGGAGATGAGGGGGTTGCTTGGGAATAATAAGGCCGGGGGGGGGGGGAGGTGTTGTTGCTGATAGCGAGAGATCTGAGGGCAGTGATTTTGCGCAGCCTCTCGAGGGGGGAAGGCCTGCTACCGAAGGGAGGAGGAGGAGGAAGGAGGGAGACGAGCTTGAGGTTGTGGGTTAAAAGGGGAGGGGGGGCGACGTCTTTGCGCGCGCACTTTAGAGCAAATAAGAGGTCCAAGGGACTGCTGGGATAACAACGGCAGCAGCCGCAACAATCGGAAGCACGCGCGCTGCTTGGGTTCCAAAGCTCCTCGCGCACGTTGCCTTCGTGCAACGGCAGATGTCGCGTGTTTGACAGTCCTCCACCCCAGCACCCTGTTACCGCTGCGGGTTGTTCAGCAGAGGCGCGTTGGCCCATGAGGTGGAACCAGAGCTTGAATACTGAGGTGTCGTAGCGGTTTGTACCAATTCCTACTGTAGGAGGGACTTTTCAAAAGCTGCCCAATTGCACTATAGAGGACAGTCTGATTTGGACCATCCTTCTGGGATTTTTTCCCATTTCAAATAGTACATATGATGGAGTACTGAAGAAAAGCAATTTTCCACTTGCCATTTCAAAAAAATAGAACTTTCAGGATACTAAAGTATCTACTGTGTAAGTAGCAACAAAGTTCAAACTGGAGATATCCCACAAAACGTCAACTGTTGACTATTTTTACCCTGTTGCAGGCAGTTGTTTTTATATATAAAAACATCAGGGATCAGATCCATAGATTAGTTGCTGCCGTTCTTTTTTCAAACTTACTGATTTTTTTTTCTTTTTACATGACAGGTGTTTCAAGATGACGCAGTTCCTGCCCCCAAATTTGTTAGCACTATTTGCGCCCCGTGATCCTATACCCTATCTGCCTCCTTTGGAAAAATTGCCCCATGAGAAACATCATAATCAGCCTTACAGTGGTATTGCTCCCTACATCCGTGAGTTTGAGGTAGGTCTAGTAGTATTGGTCTTAACTGTCTTTCACTTGTTACTGGGATATTCGCTAATGCCTGTAGAATCAGAATGGGTGTTGTAGCAATTACTTTCTCAACATTTTTGTCTTAATTTAATATTCAGAGCTATTACAAAACAGTTTCTCTTTCAGGACCCACGTGATGCTCCCCCACCTACTCGTGCAGAGACACGGGAGGAACGGATGGAACGGAAGGTATGTTACAGCACACAGTTAAATGTGAGGTATATCAATATTTGCTCTGATCCAAGTTCTGAAAATAGATTTAAGGAGAAGGATGTTGAACAGTTGAACTTTGAAGGATTCAGTTATCTTTCATGAGAATACACTGAAAAACAAGATAAACATTTCATATGTTTTCTTGGTCCCTTTCATTGCAGAGGCGAGAGAAGATTGAACGCCGACAGCAGGAGGTTGAAAGTGAATTGAAGATGTGTAAGTCAGACACAGTAGAAAGCTGTCTAAAGGAATGTATACTTTTTATCATTAAATTCAAATTAACAGAAGGCCCATTAATTAAAGATGAGGCCTGGCACTTGTAAAAAAAATAGGGAAGTGGAAGTATATTTTTTCTCATTTCTCCTCTAATCTGATTTATTATTTTTTCATTTAGGGGATCCACATAATGACCCCAATGCTCAAGGAGATGCCTTCAAGACACTTTTTGTGGCCCGAGTTGTAAGTTATTTCTCTCTCCTTCTATCAGTGCTTGGATTAAAATATATATAAACAACTTGCTACTTGCACTCTTTCTGAGCTCCAAATATTATTGCCAGTCCCATGTAATCTAGTTGATCACTTGTTGGGAAATGGGAGAAGTTCAGTTATTTTGTCACAGTTTGGAAACCAATGCAGCTGAGATTGGTCAAAGACAGGATAGGATTAATTTTATTACTCTCCTAATTCCATCCCCAAATTTATCAACTTTCCAAGAAAAAAATTTATAGCAGTGGTGGGAGAAGTAATTTCTGGGGTGAAGAGGGGTTTCTTTCCATTCCAGTTGGTAGAAAATATAATGCTGAGGTTTGCCATACATTCAGTTTATTGTATAAACTGACAACGTTGTTTACAAGAGCTGTTGAGGTACCAAATGAATTAGTTAGTTTCTTTAATGAGGTATCTTTGGTTTTCCATAAGTTTTATTTCTGCGCTTCCTACTTATTTTCCAGAATTACGATACAACAGAGTCCAAATTGAGGCGGGAGTTTGAAGTCTATGGGCCTATCAAAAGGGTGAGTAATTTAGATCAGTTCTCCAGAAGACACATCAGAATGAAAAAAAGAGGGGGGTATCCTATGTTTTGAGCATCTTTTGTACTCATAATCTAAGATAATATTCCTGTGTAAAATTTAACATTCCTGGTTTTGATTTCTTAAGGAAAGGAATTTGTGTTTTCTTTTCATATGGCAGTTTTCATATAAAAACATAAAGGAATTTCAGAAGAAATGTAAAGTAAGGGGGTGCACTATAATTTTTGGATCCTTAATCTCAAAAATTTAAAATTTGCAAAGGCAATACCAGCTGAAGTTTCAGACAACATAAACAAAACTCAGGAAAAGGAGGTAACTATCATAAGGAATCTTCCTGTGGAAATACCCAAGTAAATCAGAATAAATGAACAATAATAATAATGAAGGATAGCTTAAAAGGGGATGCTGTTTTCCCCCCCAATATTCCCTGGTAGTCTCTGAAGTGATGGGATTCTTCAAAGTGTGTGGGGGGGCTGGGGGGGACTCAAATGAAAATTAATAGAAGGTGTCAGACAGGCACGTAAAGTTTCAGGTTTGATGGGTGGATTTTTAAAAATATTTGTGCATGGCTGAGAAGAAAAATTGGGTGTAAGTTAGGGTTACACACACCAACACACACATTTGAAGTAATCAGTTTGCCTCTTAATATCTTCGGACTCTAAAAACATTTTGTAGCACTTTGCTGTTGCAGAACCCTACAAAACTGTCAAAATGTAAATAATAGATGTATAAGAAGTAAAAGATGCTGGTAACATTGGTAAAATTTTCAGTGAACCACTTGAAATCCAATATGATCTTCAAGTTGAAAGAACTCTTCATTGAGTTTATATGTCTGCTTAATTATTCCTTTCTAGATCTACATGGTATACAATAAGCATTCCGGCAAGCCACGTGGCTACGCCTTCATTGAATATGAACATGAACGTGACATGCACTGTAAGTCCTTTTATGGGATGAGCTAAACCTTTTCTATATGCATATTTTAAACTAAATTATTATAAAAGCATGTGTTTTTTTAAACACTGTTAATATTTTAAGCCCTTAAGTTATTTGAGGGCCTGGGTTTCCCCCAACAGGTAAGTACAAAGTGGGGGAGCCTAGTTTGGTTTGGCGAGCACCCAAGTTCCGTTAATGTCATTCAGATAGTATTTCAAGGGATCTTTATGATCAGATCAACAAAGTAATCTAAAAGGAAGGAAGGAAATTTTTATCCCCTTCTCAACAGATTTCATAATTCATGGAAGATACTGTATTAGATCTTTCTTGTTGTAGGTAAGGTATTTCTTTTGGAAGCAACCTTTTCATTCTTTATCTAGTTTTGGAAAAATCAAATTAACGTAGCTGGGGTGCCCCAAATTTAATCTGTGTGCTAAAGTAACAGGCAACAGTTCCTGTCCTTATCCCCTAAATTCCTATGTTTGGGATGGATCCTGTAAGCTAAGGGTGGGCAGCTAGTCATGCCAGCATCTTTTGGTGCAGGCTAGAGTTACTGCTTCCATTATGGGTCCCAGGAAAAGTTGCCCCTGCGTTCTGAACTGTTGCCCATTCTTTTATGTTTTTTTTTAATTTTTAAAGAGGGAGAATGAATGCTATGAAGAAGTTCTTCTTCTGAAGCAAGTGTAACTTTGACCTGAAGTTGTGTTTTGAAAAGATGCTTTTGTTGAGAGGCTGTTGTGAGCGGGTTGTATTAATTCTGTGTTCTTATTGTCACTGCAGCCACCTTTCTGATGGCTATTGCCACTGCTGGCTTGCAGCTGATCCTTATGCTTCCCCTTTACAACATCTCATTGTATGGTTGGTATAAGGGTTTGTATAATTGGTAAGAACCTCAGTACCCAACACACTTCTATACACAAGCCAGGTCAAAGGCAGATGGTAGATAATATGGTTGAGATGGGGGTGGAGGGAAGGAAGGAATCTATTTCTCTTTTGGTTTCTGTAAACTGTCTTGCTGAATAGAAAGAGAAAAAGAAATAGGTTCCTCATGGTCTATGTTAGTTATACATTGTTCAGTCTGGATTAAAGGAGAGGGAGGGAACAACAGGCCAGCCATTTGTAGCATAACTCAAATATCCTGAGTGAATCCTCCCTCCTTAAGTCACACATATGCCATTTTATAGTCTTTATAATCTATGGATGGGGAGAAAAATAGGCAGAATCTGTTTTGAAGAAATCAAAATGCTTTGTTTTTTTTGGTGACATATGAAACTGGTAGAGTATATTTCATATTGCCTAATCCAAAATAAATATTTCTTCTTAATCAAATTCTAATTGGATTGTGTCCATGTTAAAACTAGGTAAATCCATAGTTTGCCATGCCATCCAAAGTTCTAATGTAAGGTCCACAAAATAAACAGAGTTCCTATCTGACTGAGTTAATTCTTCAGAAGAACACAGACAAAACTAAAATGTTACTACTTATTATAAAGCATATAAAATATGTGACAGTAGCATTGTAATTTAACATGATTAATTACCTGATCATTCAAAATCACTGAGAGTGTATCTTCATAGAAAGAAATATCAGCATTTGCACAATTTCTATAGTGCTTTCTTGGTTAACATAAATATTTTGTCATCTACTTCCACAAAACAAAAATCTTTAACGCTGTCATTTTAAAAACAAGACAAACTATGGAGTGTGTGCATCTTGCTGTTAAATTTACTATTCTCCTAGAAACACTAATTACCTGGGAGGAATGGCTAATAGTAGCTGGGTTTGAAGGACAGATTAATTTAAATGGAAGTTGGCGGTCATCTATGAGTGTTTTTTATATACTGTATGATAGCTAGCTTAAGTGAACATGTTCCTAAAATCTTTAAAGTTGCATTTAAATAATGAACACATTCTTTGCAGTTGCTAGATTATTTGCATATGAAATACCAGAAGGTCTAGTTTTATCCTTTGAATTCTATATTTAGAAAATTACTTATCTATGCAGATATTTTAGAATAGATACAGCCTATTTTTTGGTTAAACTTGGGATAGATAAACTCAAAATGTCATAAAATGCACAGATTAGCTAGTAATATGTGTTTCTTAGGAGGGAGTTCATATTTTAGCATGTGTTCTGAACTTTCAGTTGATTTGAAGCAATACTGAGGATATCTGAGTTATGCTTTTAGTAAATTAATGGGCAATTGTACTTTAAAATCTAACTTGGGGCACAAAGCTAAGTAAGTGGATTTTCTTTAGCTACCCCCTGGTATGGCTTGTCAAGGCCATAATGAACCTTTAAGCGGGACATAGTTGGGATGTCTGCCTCAACAGAGATTCTAACTTATTGTTCCCTTAAATAAGGGTTTCCACATGAAAGCAGGCAACTATATCACTGTTGCTGGGTTCCTGGATAATGATAGTGAGGGCATTTCAGACACATCACACATTTCTTGCTGTTTTTTCTTGTATCTTTTTTTCTGTCTGGCTTCTTTAGTTTAGCTCTTTTAATTGTGTAGCATTCAGAGTTTTCCATTCTGCCTGAAAGAGGCTACAGCTAGGAATGTCAAGAAAGCTCATGGCTAACATTCAGGATTTATTTGGCCTCCCTGAATTTGTAGTTGTAAGGGTATCTTCTGTTAGATATATTCAGTCACTGGAATTGGGATTTTAAAATTAGGAATTAAATGGGGCCATTATCAACTAAACTTTTCCAAATCAAAACTCTATCTAGAAATGCCTTTCCCAGCCTTAAATCTTCTGGATATATAAGATTACCATTATTATTCCCAGAGTATTCTCTTTGGGAATTATTCTAATCCCTATTGTTGGGAACTATTTGGAAAGACTGACCAAAGCAAAGACAAGACAAAATGGTGAATTTTAAAAATTGATAAACATTCTTCATCTTAATTTTGTATTAAGATACTATTGAGTTGTTAAAATAAACAGTCCCAACTCCGAAAATTAGTTGCTGGCCCCTGAATCCAGGGGAAAAATTATAAGTTTTATCTTTGAGTCCCCCAAGGCAACTCCCCCTCCCCTCACGCTATTTGTGATAATCAGTATTGACCTGTAAATCATATAGTGTGATCAGTTTACATTGCTCCCTTGAGGGACTATCTAAAAATTAAGTCTTCATGGAACCTTTCAATTCTATAGTTTTCCTTATTCAGACCAGATACCCAGCTGTGGCAATTCTGAAAAAATATGTAAATTGTCATGTAACAATCTCCCTAAAAAGACCATGTACTTCTTGCATATTTATTTCTTTTCATAAAATATGCCTTCCAATAAAACACATAAAAGAAGTGAAAATCAAATATCTCTTCCCTTATTATTTCT